GAATGTAACCGAGGCAGGCCCTGGGCCAGATTCGCAACATGGACTGAATACAAGCCGCGGGCAGTTGGACACGGGCAACCACCACAGGCCCAGGGCCTGAATCGTTTGGACTGGGGCTCAGCCTCTCTGGGCCTACCGGAAGCTTCTGGGCAGGGGCCCAGCGCAGCCAGAACCGCACGCAAGCAAGCAGGCCACTTCCATTTAGGAAAGGGCCTGCCCACGCATTCAGCATTCGGGCACTGGCTGCATGCTGCGCAAGCGCTGCTGCGCTATACGTTGGCCAGCGCTCACGCGCTCACGGGCGAGCTGGAAGGAGCAGGCAGCCATAGCCAAGCTGCGCTGCTGTATGTTGCATGGGGCGCATGGTGGTCTTTGGGTGCACGTGGCATCTGTGAGTGGGGAATCGAGGTTATGAGTGAGGCGAGAGACATACCTGGTGCTTGAGGCGAACGGCATTGGCCGAGATCTGCTCGTGCTTCGGGGAGCTGTTGACGTCATCAGCGGCATTGTAGATAGGCTAGATAGGATCTACCATTTGTAGTCTGGGCGCCGAACGCCAGATAGGACGTCGACATTGGTTCTTTGTTGATGATGATGAGACTATTCGAAGAGCTGAAAGGGGTTGTTGAGAGGGAGGTCGTCCACGCGATAGAGATTATCCCAAGGTCTAGCATCCCTAAGGGTAGGATCTATCCGATGTCTCCAGGTGAGCTCGATGAGCTTCGCCGGCAACTCAAGGATCTCATAGAGAAGGGTTGGATCCGGCCTAGTGTTCCCCCTTACGGATCTCCTGTACTATTTGTACCAAAGAAGGGGGGGACCTTGAGGATGTGCATTGACTATGGGGGCCTCAATGCCATCACAATGAAGAACGTCGAGCCCCTACGTGCATCGATGAACTTGCTGGACCGAGTGCAAGGGTGTCGGTACTTCAGTAAGATAGATATGAAGCCTAGGCACCATCAGATTGCAATCCGGCCCGAGGATCAACACAAAACCGCATTTCAGACCAGGTACGGTCTATACGAGTTTGTGGTGATGCCTTTCGGCCTTTGCAATGTTCCTGGCACCTTTCAACACGCGATGAACCGGATATTTCATGACTACTTGGGCGACATACTTATCTTTAGTAGGACTGTCGAGGAGCATGTAGCGCACTTAGATAAAGTCCTTAGCCTCCTCAGACAGCACCAGTTCAAGATTAATCGGGAGAAGTGTGAGTTTGGACGCACCCGGATCTTGTACCTGGGACATGAGATTTTTGTGGAGGGATTGAAGCCCGATGACGCGAAGGTGGCCATCATTCATCACTGGTCATGTCCTCAGTCTGTGACTGAGATGAGGTCCTTCTTAGGGATGACAGGCTACTACCGCAACTTTGTTCAGAATTACAGCATAGTGGCCGCCCCTTTGAAGGACGTGATACGCCTTGACACCCCATGGGAGTGGACAAACAAGTGTGAGGCTACTTTCAGACATCTGAAGCATGCGTTGACACACCACGAGGTCTTGAAACTTCCTGGTCCCGACAAACCTTTCGTTTTGACTACGGATGCCAGCCAATATGGCATTGGTGCCGTACTTGCGTAGCTTGAGGGGAAGAAGTTGAGGCCGGTAGAGTACATGTCCAAAAAGATGCCCTCTCAAAATTTGGCTAAGTCCACCTATGAGAAGGAGCTATATGCGATCTACAAAGCACTAACCAATTGGAGGCACTACCTCCTAGGGCGCTTCTTCTATGTCTGGACTGATCATCAGACCCTGAGATGGATGAAGACTCAACCGGTACTCTCCGACGCTCTGAAGCGTTGGATCAAAGTCATTGAGCAGTATGACTTCGAACCCCAGTACATTAAGGGGGAGTACAACAAGGTTGTTGATGCGTTGTCGCGTAGGCCAGACTTTCCCGGTGCGCCGGTCACTGAATTTGGGCTTGCGGACCATGTCACTCAATCCTTGGTGGAAGCCTATCGCGAGGATCCGTTTATGGCCGACATCATACGTAGACTCGAGGCGAAAAACAAAGCAACTGTCGACGAGTTTGTGTTGGTCAACGGCCTGCTGTTCCTTGAGAAGGTCGGGAACAAGTGTTTGTGTGTTCCTAATAGAAAGTCTTTTCATAGTTTATTTTCAGGTGAGTGTCATGATGCCACCGAACATTTTGGGTATAGGAAGACTGCAGCAAATCTGTTGCAGCGTTTCTGGTGGCCCACAATGATGAGAGATGTGAAGCTGTATGTGGAGACTTGTCAAGTGTGTCAAAGAGAAGCCACGTACACAAGCTCCTCATGGGCTTCTTAAGCCCCTTCAGATTTTGAAAAGGCCCGGTGAAAGCCTGTCTATGGATTTCATGGACACGCTGGTCACCAGCAAGAGCGGAATGCTAGGCTAGTCGCAATGCCTGCTACAGCCAAGACCGAGTATGTGATCAAGCTGTTTAAAGAGAACTGGGTCAGAGACGTTGGGCTTCCAGAGTCCATTATAAGTGACCGCTGCAGAACAAGGAACACAGCTGCAGATGACTTCTGGGAACCACCCAGAGGCAAACGGGCAAGTGGAGCAGCTGAACCGAGTTGTACAACGCCTGTTCAGCCACTACATAAAGCCCAACCAGGTGGACTGGGATGAGAAACTTGCTTTCATCGCCAACCTGTACAACAATGTTGTGCACAGCGCAACAGGGGTGAGTCCTTTTTTTTTTTTTTTTTTTTCTTTCCGAGAAAACTGCCCGTTTGGGAGATAGGGGCGCTGGTATAAGCAGACGCCTCTATCTCCCCGGGGAGGCTCCACCAACAGGGGTGAGTCCTAACCGCCTGCTA